CGGCACTAATGTTGGGGGCGGGGGGCACAGCTGGCTGGCAGCTGGATGGGGGGGACACTTCTCCCGCCTTCTTCCTCTTTAACTCACCGAGAAGGCAGACTGGCAAATGATTCCCCAAACACTAGAGACTCCCCCAATCTTGCCTACTCAGTCATCTTTCTGCCCCACTGTCCAGCCACCGAAGAGCCTCCAAGGAAATGGGGCGACATCCCTCCTCGCCCACACCCACGCGTGCCACAGCCCACCCACATCTCCCCTTCAGGCTAGTAAAAGGCAAATTTTTTAGCTTCGATAAAGTTTTTCTGGGGTATGAGAATTTGGGATGGGACAGGGAGCTCTAGGGTTCCCCTGCCGGAGCCATAAACCATCTTCGCCGTCTCCCTGTTTTCCAGAGTCCCCCTCGCACCCCCGCTCCCCAACTCCCAGGAGTCGGCTCCGCCTCCCTACTCCCGGTCCCGCCTTCCCCGCCCCCGTTCCTCCTCGGCCCACCCAAGTCGCCGCCGCAGGCACTGGCTGCAGACTACTCCGCTCCCCCCGCCCGCCCGGGGAGCCCAGTCGAGCGAGCCTTAGGGGTGGGGGCTAAGGGGCGGGACACATTCTTGCCTCCTCCTCTCAGCGCATCCGGAAAGCGGGCAGTGGCGCCCTAGGGGGCACTACTGGAGAGTGGGGGTCCCCGTAGGTGGGATGAGAAAGAAGAATCCAGAAAGTATGGAGGAGAGAAAGTGACTGGATCAATAAAATTAGGTGTGTACGGGGAGGAGGAGGAGCCGGGACACCTTAGGTTCCTGGGTATCGCAGCCGGCTTCCCAAGGGTTAACCCCTCCAGACCCCCGGGAACCCCCTGGTGACGTCAAGGGCGGGGATGCCAGGGAGATAACGGTGAGGGGGAGAGGTCTCTGGACCCCGCCCCCCAGGGAAAACCACCCTTATTCCGACCCTTACAACTCCCCCGGGAAACCGCCCCGCCTTCTCCCTCTAATGGGACGTAAAGACCTATCCCAGAAGACCCCAGCTCTCCAGACCCCTAAAACCCTCAGTCCTCAGCCTCTACCAGGTCCCTTTTCCCTAATCCTGTCCCCAAAGCTAGCTGCCCAGGGCTGATTGTTTCGGGGTCATGGGGCCTGAAAGAGGATTCAGAGCGGGGAGCAAGGGCAGGCAGGGTGGTCTGAGCCAGAGGAGGGGCCTCAGTCCCCAGCTCCCGTTTGGGCGGGGGACCAATGGGGATACACTGGCTGACAGTGGCCAGTGGTCCCGCCCAGCCCCGGTAGGGGTCTCCCTGCGGCTGGCTCCCGCTGCCCCGGTGGTCCTGAGTTCAGAGGGTCAAGACAAGGTCTCCCTGGCTCATCCTGAGCGCCTTGCCCTCAGCCCTTGGGACTCAGGAGTCCAAAATTGCCTGGGGTCATTCTAGGGCCTTCACTAGACCTTGGACAGCCTCTCCAAGCCCCCTTCCTAGTCCAGAAGACACTCCTTTCCCCCAAACACAAGCATCCACTGGCACATCTGTCACGAGACAGGTCAAGGGTGCAAGCCCGGCTGGCCCCTAATGGTTCTGTTGCCTCCCACACACCCGTCCCCACCCCACCTGGAGCTCCCTCCTTTTCAGTCCCCTCCTTTCAGAAACACTGACGTCTTCCTGCCCCACGCGCAGACACACACCTGGAGTTCCCTCTCTACCACGCAGACCTCCAGCTGGCCATCCCTCCAGCCTCTTCAGCTCTCAACCTCATGAAAGTGAGATGTTTCTAATATATGGGAGAGGCGGAGACAAAGGCCCACGGTTGCCTGAGACAGAGATACACAGACTGACAGAAGAAGAAAGGGAAGAAAAGGAAGATACAGAGAAAGATACAAGTGAAAAAATTGGAGTTTCTAATGTCTCACCCCAGGCTCTCCCACCCCCATTTTGCCTCCGTGTCCCCGGGTCTGGGACGAGTCCCTCGGAAGCTGAGCATCCCCTGAGGCCCCCTCCCCCACTGCTCCCAGGTGGTCCCCCGCCTGCCCCCCCTTCTCACCTCTGTCTGGGCGCTGGGCTCAGGATGCGCGGTCCAGGGCTGGAGTCTGGGCTGGGGGGTGTGCGGTGGGGAGGGGGGGGCGGAGAGGGCCACGGCAGCGCAGCCTCAATGCCACCCCCACCCCCCCAACCTGGCCCCCAGCCCTCCCGCCGGCCCAGCCCGCCGGGCCGCAAGCCCGGACCACCCGCGAGAAGCGCAAACTTTTTTTTCCCTTTGCAAAAACTTTTTCTCGCTCCAGCCGCTGGCGCGCCGCCGCTCTTCCCGCTCGCCCTTCAACTCCCTCCTATTTCCCTCCCTCTGCCGTTCTGGAGGATGAGGCGGGGTAGCTGGAAGCAAGAGAGGGGGTGCCGGGCTTATTGCACCCCCAGGACCCCCAGGATCCTCCCCCTCCCTTGAGGGACCCTATACTGCCTACGCCCCCCCAACCCCCCCAACACTCTGCTGTTGGTGGGCAGTAAACCCCGGCATGGATTTCTGGATCGGCTGGCCCCAAAGAGGTCCCGACCCAGAGACAGAAAACCAAATTCAGGAAAATATTGCGGAACAGGGGGAGAAGTTCAACTGAGAAGGATAATAGTGGAGGTAAGTAGTCGCCTTTGGTTGGTGCCAACTGAGCCTTCTGACATCCTGTGGCTTATCGGCATGCCTTACCCTTTGGATGGAACTTGGAGAGGCTGGGACAGAGTTGGGGTTTGGGGCAAATCATTGAGGGGTTAGGGGCTCTGCCAGAAAATGAGGAGTCTATGGAGCACAAAAGCTAGGAGCAGCGGCTGAGGCTCTGGGTGTAGGGTGAGCCCTGGGACCGAAGCCCCTTTCTGGAGAACCCCCGCTCTCCGTCTGCAAGTTCGAGACTGCGGCCACCTCCGCACCTCGCCTCCGAGGGCTCTAGCCGCTCTTCAAGGCTTTCTGCTCCCTCTGCTGGCCGTTCTCATACATGACACCTGCTTGCAGTCGTGGCAGAAGAGGTGGGAGAGCCGAAGGAGGAGATCGGTCAGGTCCCCTCACTAAAGCTCAGTTAAAAGCCCAGGAGGGGCCGGGCGCGGTGGCTCAAGCCTGTAATCCCAGCACTTTGGAAGGCCGAGGCGGGTGGATCACGAGGTCAAGAGATCGAGACCATCCTGGTCAACATGGTGAAACCCCGTCTCTACTAAAAATACAAAAAGTTAGCTGGGCATGGTGGCGCGGGCCTGTAATCCCAGCTACTCAGGAGGCTGAGGCAGGAGAGTTGCTTGAACCCAGGAGGCAGAGATTGCGGTGAGCAGAGATCGCGCCATTGCACTCCAGCCTGGGTAACAAGAGCGAAACTCCGTCTCAAAAAAAAAAAAAAAAGCCCAGGAGGTGTGGATATGTGAACTCAAAGAAACGGAGAGGCTCACTGTCAGAGGTTGCTATGCCCAGCGGTACTGCCTCACAGGGTGGTGCCCTGCCCCTTTAGATTTGCGTTGCCATCATGACCAGATATAGGGGAGGGGCACCATTCCAGTCTCTGATTTTTATGAGAAAGAGGAGAAAGCATGATAGAAAAGGAGCACCTTCCCCTCTTTTGTTCAAGCCCCCAGGCAGACTTCCCACATCCTAGCTCTGCTTCCAAGAACTTCCCACATCCTAGCTCTGCTTCCCTGGGCCTGGAAGGTCAGTGGGTTAACTGTTCAATCTGAGGGTCAAGGGAGAAAAGAAAAGGTGAAATTAGAGGGAGGGAGGTCTGGGACTTTGACCCAGACTAGTTATACCCAGAGGGTCAGAGACCCAGCTCAGTCAGGCCAGAATAATGGTCACTAAAAAAAGGCACCCCACACATGCTCCTGTCCCAGCCTCGAGCCCCTTCTCCCAGAGGATCTATTATTTATTTATTTATATTTATTTGTGATGGGGTCTCACTGTTTGCCCAGGCTGGAGTGCAGAAGCTATTCACAAGTATGATCATAGCCTTGAACGCCTGGGCTTAAACAGTCTTCCGCCTTAGCCTTCCAACTAGCTGGGACCACCGGTGCTCAGCAAGAGGAGCTCTCTTAGAACACGTTACTTTCTTCTCCCCAATCAGTTCTATAGACCAAAATGTTTTTTTGTTTTTTTTTTGAGACAGAGTCTCCCTCCGTCACCCAGTCTGGAGTGCAGTGGCGCGATCTCGGCTCACTGTAACCTCTGCCTCCCACGTTCAAGTGATTCTCCTGCCTTAGCCTCCTGAGTAGCTAAGACTACAGGCGCATGCCACCAGGCCCGGCTCATTTTTAAAATTTTTTTATTTTTTGTATTTTTAGTAGAGATGGGGTTTCACCGTGTTAACCAGGATGGTCTCAATCTCTTGACCTCATGATCCACCCGCCTTGGCCTCCCAAAGTACCGGGATTACAGGCGTGAGCCACTGTGCTGGTTTCCTCTGTACTCTTTTTTTTTTTTTTTTTTTTTTTTTGAGATGGAGTTTTGCTGTTGTTACCCAGACTGGAGTGCAAAGGCACGATCTCGGCTCACGGCAACCTCCGCCTTCTGGGTTCAAGCAATTCTCCTGCCTCAGCCTCCCGAGTAGCTGGGACTACAGGCACGCAACAAGATTTCACCTTGTTGACGAGGATGGTCTTGATCTCTTGACCTCATGATCCACCTACCTCGGCCTCCCAAAGTGCTGGGATTATAGGCATAAGCCACCGCACCTGGCCCTCTATACTCAAAACTCACTGGGTTAGGCGTGGTGGCTCAGGCCTGTAATCCCAGCACTTTGGAAGGCCTGGGTGGAGGGAATCACCTCAGGGGTCCAAGACCAGCTTGGCCAACATGGCGAAACCCCATCTCTACTAAAAATACAAAAAATAGCTGGGCGTGGTGGTGCAGGCCTGTAGTTCCAGCTACTCGGGAGGCTGAGGCAGGAGAATTGCTTGAAATGAGGAGGTGGAGGTTGCAGAGAGCTGAGATCCATTGCTCTCCAGCCTGGGTGACAGAGATGCACTCCGTCACAAAGAAACAAAAAAAAAAATAGTTGAGCTTTTATCTGTATGATATACATCTATCAATTCATTACATTAGAAATTAAAACTGAAAAGGACTGTAACACAAGACTGTACAAGCACACATTCCATTAACAATGATGTCAGAAAGATGATGTAATCACATGTCACACAGCCTCTGGAAAACTCCACTGTACAATTTTAAGATAATGAGAATTTAAAAGGCAAATAACATGTTAGTATTATTATAAAAATAACTTTGACTTTGTGGACACCCCTGAAAAGGGATCTCCCGGAAGCCTCCAGAGCACACTTGGAGAACTATTGCTCTGGACCATCACCCCAACCCTTCTTTATGACTCACATTTGTTGGTTTCTCTCTTGTTGCCCAGGCTGGAGTGCAATGGCGCAATCTTGGCTCACTGCAACTTCTGCCTCCCAGGTTCAAGCAATTCTCCTGCCTCAGCCTCCCAAATAGCTGGGATTATAGGCACCCGCCACCACACCCGGCTAATTTTTGTATTTTTTTAGTAGAGACAGGGTTTCACCATGTTGGTCAGGCTGGTCTTGAACTCCTGACCTCAAGTAATCCACCCACCTCAGCCTCCAAAAGTGCTGGGATTACAGGCGTGAGCCACTGCACCCAGCTCTTTCTCCTTTTCATGAGGAAAGTATAAATGCTTGTCTCCCACTGGGTCCTGTCTTCTGGGAAAAACCAGGGACCTTCTTAGGTTTAGCACCTCTCTTTCCTGACTCCTGTTTCTGGGGCACCCCTAAGCATCCTCCCTCAGTGCCTTGTTCATCTCCTTCTTGACCCTCCCTTAAGGCATCTCAACAGCTCTTACCCTGGGTCAGCCTGCTTACCCTCCAAGCTTGCTGGACCATCTATCTGTTTCCTCTTCCTCTCACTTGAGGACTTTCTCATCTTGGGAGAGGCTAAGTAATTTTTCTCTGCCTTCCCGCCTTCCCTCCCTAGTCCTGACACCTTCTCACGGGACTTAGGGTAGGAAATCATGCTTTCTGGGGAGACCCCCTTAGAAGAAACGCTTTACCCATCTCCCAACACATCAACCAACCTGGATCAGTCCAGAGTCTCAGACAAGAAAGTGCCCATTTGTGTCCCATAGGGGTTGAGAGAGTCATATTGCCAGATGGCTATTGGGTTGGGGGTGGATCAGGAATCTGATGCCTCCAGCCACAGATGCTCTGTGCCTGGGAATCTCCAACCTGGTCTCTTCATTCCAAAGCCCCAGGTCCTCCTGCTAGCTGCAGCCACAGGCCTCCACCACCATATCTGGCACATCCGTCTTGACGACATTGCCATTACGATCCAAGTAGAGGAGAGAGAGGGGCCTTCGGGCAGTGGGGACGCAGCAGGAGGTACTGGCAGGCCAACGGTTGTTGGCTTTGAGGAGGCTGAAGACGGCAGAATGGAAAGAGGCAGCAATGCCTGGGCTGCCAGCCAGGTGAAGAGGGCACTCACCACTGCAGTAATTCAGCTGGTACCCCTCGGGCTGCAGTATCCAGTCTCGCCATCCCAGCTCCTGAAAGTCTATGTAATGGTCTCGCCTGCAACATAAGGGGGTCGCAGGCCCACAGGTGGGGGTCCTCCTCCTGGTCCGGCCCGCTCCAGGCTCTTTGGCTCGGATCTTAAGTTCTAGGAAGGGCTGCTGGTGTCCTGCTGTGTCCAGGAGCTGCCTTGGTTGTCCAATAACTGTGCTGTTGCCTTCTAGGGGTCTGCAGTCTAGTTGCAGTTTCAGGACACGAGACTTCTCACCCCTCAGGCCGCTAGAGGGCAGAGTTAAGGCATGCCAGCCCAGGTGGGTGATGTGGTGCTCAGCCAGCAGGGTGCGGGACTCTTGGCGCCTCCTACTGGGTCCCCATCGGAAGATCCTCAAGTAAAGAGTGCCAGGACGGGTGGGGAGCACGTGCAGCCACAGGCGGGCCTGGTACAGTTGGTGAGACCGAGGAGTGGACAGGTGAAAGGTGAGCAGAGAGCTACAGGCTGAAGTGGAGTCTGCTGGAAAGACAGAGAAGGGAAAGAAAAATGTGAGCAGAGATGAAGCTCTCTTCTGAGACTCCCCTAGTCCTGCCCACTGCTCTCCCTTGAACCCACCGTTAGAAAAGTAGAGATTGCTTTGTGTCCTGTGCCACCAGTCCCTGCCCCAGCTCCTCCTTCTCCTGCCACACCCCACTCCCTCTGCAGCTCCTGCCAGGATCCCCTTCTGCCTCCCTTTCCCTGTCTGCTCTCTGCCTGTCACTCTCTCCCTCACCCACCTGTGATGGTAGCAAAGCTGATGACCTCCTCCCCATTCCCTGGAGCCACACTCCCTGGCTGTAGTCTCCGGAGGGCTCTGGTCAGCGCTGCCTGGGGTGGAGGATGAGTTATTCGGGGACGACTGGTCAGGTGCAACCCCTCCAGGATTTGCTGCTTGGCTAGCTCCAGCACCAGAGCTCGTTCTGCTTGGGGTGCCAGTGTGGGGCCCCCACAGGAGGGACACACAGACCCTGTCCCCTGTGACTGTACCAGTGCCCACAGCAGCACCAACCAGAGCTGGACATCAGGGAGCCCCATACTCCTGGTGAATGGCCCTGGTGGTTCGGTAGCCTCGGATGGCGGTTGCTTCATCTGTTGAGTCTGATTGCTGGGGGCCAACGAGGGCACAGTGACAGCAGACACCAGTGCCACACCTACCCTTGGCCAAGCGTAGAGCCACCTGTCTTCTATTGTCTGGGACTCAGGAAGGCTGAAAGTAGATCATCAGATGGATAGCTGTGCTTGACCCTCACAGTTTATGTCTGGCTACTGACCTGGGGCCTCTTTAGAGCCAGCTGCCTGGGGCTTCCAAACCTAGTGGTCAGCCAGCCCACCTACCCTCTGAGCCCCAGGATTGGCCAGCTGTGCTGCCCATCAGGTCCCTGCAGGGGGTGGAGGTCCTCCTCCCCACCAGCTCAGGTTTCACCATCTGGCCATGGTGACTGGGCCTGAAGTGGGGGTATGGGTGTGGGGGGTGTGATGTGGACACGCATGATGCAAGAAAGGGGATGATTTCACAGGCTCAGTCCCCAAGGTCTGGGACTTGGGGAGGGAATGCCTTATGAGCCAGGTGGGGAAGGGCAATTTTTCCGCATACCTCTAGTCTTTCTAGCTTCACCACTGCTACAGCAGTTTCCATGAGGCAGCTGTGAGTTCCAGTGGGTATTTTTCTGGGGCTCTTAGGCCAGAAGGAAAATTCTGGTCTCTTTATTTCTAGCACTAGGGCTGGGACGGGATGAGGGATTGGGCAGGTAGGAGAATGGAGCCCTCTTGCTCAGGCCCAGGTGGCAGTGCCACGAGGCACCGAAATCACCCCTGACCCTGCCTGTGCTGGCTGCCCAGAGTCCAGTGGCCTGGAACATGAGGTAGAGGAGGGCCAGAGTGGGGGCTGGGCCGGGAAACGTGTTCCTGTGGTGTCTGGGGAAGCCCAGAGAGGTGGTGGTGTTGGTGATGCAATCTTACACAGGGCAGAGTCCATCAGTACTGACAGGGGGCATGGCACTTGGGAGGGCCTGTACCCAGCTGCCACTTCTCTTTCAAGGGACTGTGAGAGTTGCCTAAATTTGGGTCATCCTAGAAGCAGCTCCAGGCCTTTTTTAACTTTTAAAAATTTTAAATTTTTTGTTTTATTTAATTTTATTGACATGAGGTCCCAATCCATTGTCCAGGCTGGAGTGCAGTGGCAAAATCATAGCTCACTACAGCCTTGAACTCCTGGGCTCAAGCAAGCCTTCTGCCTCAGCTTCCTTAGTAGCTGGGGCCCCAGAGAAATACCCACTGAAACTCACAGCTTCCTCATAGACACTGCTGCAGCAGTGGTGCACACCACCACGCCTGGCTAATTTTTAAATTGTTCATAGAGACAGGCTCTTGCTATGTTGCCCAGGCTGGTCTTGAACTCCTGGGCTCAAGCAATCCACTTGCCTCAGCCTCCTGAAGGGCTGAGGTTACAGGTATGAACCACCACACCAGCCTTCAGGCCTGTTAATGGGGGTGGGAAATGCCAGCTTTAAGAGCTTTTGACAACAAAGCAAGGTGAGTACAGCAGTCTTGGTTCCAATCTCAGCCTTCCTGACTACGTTTCCTTGCTGGCTTTATTTTTATTGTATTATTTATTTTTTTTGAGACAGGGTCTCACTCTGTCATCCAGGCTGGAGTGTGATGCCCTGATCACAACTTCCAAGGGTTAAGTGATTCTTCCACCTCAGCCTCCAGAGTAGCTAAGGCTACAGGTGAGTGCCACCATGCTAGGCTAATTTATTTTTAATTTTTTTGTAGAGACAGGGTCTTGCTGTGTTGCCCAGAGTGGTCTCAAACTCCTGGGCACAAGCGATCCTCTCACCTCAGCCTCCCAAGGTGTTGGGATAAAAGACGTGAGCCACCACACCGGGCCCTCACTGGCTTTAAATGGGGTGAACCCAGACCCCTCCACCTTGAATTCATGAGGGTGGGCCTCATGCTAGCTTTTCTCCTTATGCCCCCATTCCTCCAAGAAGCCTGACGGGGAGAAAACTGTGGGGGAAGCAAGTGTGATTTGGAGATGTGTCCTTATTCCACTTTGTTCATTTCTCCTCTATTTAGATGATGGGGGCTGTCAAGAGAGACTATTAGAGCTGGTACTTGGGGGACAGGGGTTCTACTTGGAGAGCTGGGCCTCAGTACCAACAGTGTCCACCATGTGGCAGTGCCGTGCCTCTGGACAGCAGCTGGCTTGCAGCTGGCTAGAGCTCCCCAGGGACAGGGAAGGGGCAACTCTGGGGAGTGGATCTATGAGGAATGCTCCTAGACCTCTCACTCTGGGGAACCTGCCTCCCCCACGAGAGACAGGAAGAAACTGGTTCCTTTGTTCTTTCCCCAACATACTGCCAGAGAAGAGAGGCTGTCTTCAGGATCCACATCACTGCTACCTTTGGTTTTGGAGCTCATCACACGGACACGTGGCAATGGAGCTTGGTGGTGTACCACGCTCTTCCTAGAACCTCAGGGCACTATTTGGTGGGGGTGGGGTAGTGTGAGGGTGCATGCACTGAGACACTTAGATTCTCTTCTCCACCCTGCATTTCTCCCCAGGCTCTGAAACACATTCAAGCGCTCTGTGCAGTGTTCTCCCCAGCTCCCAGCTCCCAGCTCCCATTCTGTTGGTTAGGCTGGTAAATGACAGCCCTCTACCTCCTGGGGTTGGAACATCAGGTTGGCAAAGTGGAGGTGTCTATCCATGGTGGTGCCTCAGAAGACTTACCTGTTGGTATCAGTAGGCAGAGTCAGGGGAAGTGACAAAAAGTGGATGCAGGAGTCACTGACCCCACCTCTCCCCACCCTCACTGTCAGATGCCCCCAATTTCTAGCTCTTCCCACCCCCTTGCTACCGTGCCTGGCCTGGTCCTACCTCCCTACTGACACTTACGTCAGAGCACAGCTATAAATATGCTCTTAGCATCTTAGTCACTTTTCCCAAGAAGTGCTCCTGAGTTATAAATACCCCAGCCATCTGCCTCACTGCCTGCCCTACCACCAACCTGGTTGGGGGCTGGGGGATAGCGACAGGCTTGGAGGTGGGTAAGGAAGTAGAAGAAGTGAAATGGGAGTGGTTATCTTGCTCAAATGAGAAAAGCCTGAAGGACTCTAGAGGTAGGAGCTAGGAAGCTCTGGAAGAAAATGGAAGCAGACCCACTCTTTCCCCGTTTGATAAAAGGCAGAGCCAAAAAAGGAAGGGAATAATGCTGATCCTGTTTTTATTTAAAAATAGGCTATTTTGTTCATCACAGATTTTTTTGCATTAATTTTGACTTTAAAAAAATATTGCAGTGGAATCTTATCTTGATTAATACATTTTTTACCACCTCCTTAAAATTTATCCCCAACCCCAGGTGAATGATTCACTTTGCCTCACCCCAGTCTTGGCCCTGGGGACTAAGCTGTAATTGGGAAGGAGGTTAGATCTGGGGGTTGGGGGTATGGGGGTCGGGGGCGTGTGGGGGAGACACCGGAAGGCCTCCTTAGATTCTCCATAGATGAAGGTCTCCTCAAGTTAAAGGTGGAATAACTTCCATGGGCTGCTCAGGAAGCCCCCAAGCTCAGATTTACAGTCCTCCAGGGAGTCCTTTTCAGACTTTCCCCTCCAGGGTTCCTATTTCAGGGACCTCTTAACCTCGTAGGAGGGGGTTATAAGCTGAGCAAACACAGACATCACGTTTACCAAAGAACACACAGGTTTTGCGCAAGCTCGGCCTTGGGCTGCAGACAATATCGACCTCGTGGTTCAGGACTGTCCAGCCAAAGGGGGAGATCTGGGGGAGGAAGGGCAAAGGTCTAAAAAAGACCCAGTCTCAGAGCAAATGCTACCCTCTCCTCACACAGGCCTTCCTCTTCTCCCTGTCCCTCTCCAGCAGCCTTTGCCTGTTCCAGCATCCAGGCAGGACTCCTGGGTGGAGCACCCGGGGCAGGTGAAAGGAAGGCAAGTCACAGGTTTTGGCAGCCAGCTCTGAGCATGCCTCTGCCTCCCACACCTGCTTGCCCACAGGTGGTTAAGTTTACTTGATGACTGAGTATTGATCTGTCTCATCTTTTGGAGGGATTACAGAGGGAACAGGTAACCTAGGTTTTTATTAGTCATGAGACCTAACGATGGTTCTAGAAGGATTGGGGGCAGGGTTGGCTAAGAAAGAAGAGGCATAAAGTGTGAGATGGATACAGTAGCTCAGTCCCAAGAAGACCATGTGAAGAGAGAGCAGAGTAGGCAGACTACAGCATAGGCAGGCGGGCTCTGTGTCATCTGGGGTGCCAGTTAGGGCCCTTGTAGGAGACAGAGGAACCATTCAGCTGTCTGTTTTATTTACAGAGGTATAGGCAGAGTTAAGGGAACCAGTAAGAGATGTTGAAGCCCTAGGGACTAGCAACATAGAAAGTCATTAGGACCCCCTAGTGTTGAAGCGGTGATATCAGAATGTAGGCAGAGCTGAGGCCATGGAAGCGGGTAGCCAGATTACTAGTATAGGGACACAGTACAGCCAGTTACACAGAACCGTGGCACCTAGGCAGAGAGGGAGCAGGAATGAGAAATGCTCTGGCCTCAGCAGGAAGCCAGAGGGCAGGGAAGCTCAGGTGAGTCAGCTCTTAAAGGCATAGAGAAAGGCAGAGAAGGACAAAAAATGGATGAGGGTATGCAAAGAGAGTGTTGGCAGTTCACCTGGACAAGTAAGAAGGAAAGGGGTTCAAAACAAATGGGGGTAAGTGAGCCTCTATTTTGGACAGCAGTGATCTAAACTTCGGTTAATCCAAAGAAGAGGCTCTCTGGAGATCTACAAAAATCAGGAGAAGGGGCTGTGTCAACTCATCTTGGAGTGGGGACCATCAAGTGGAAAGGACAGGAAGACATAGTAGGTTACAGGGTCAATTAAAGGTGAGCGAAGGGTGTCTTTGCCTGAGAACTAGATGGCATTGCTCATGGTTGGAGATGGGTCTGAGTCCTTGGAGTTGGGGGTAAGTATGTGGGGCTAACAGGATAGACTTTGCCCTAGGAAATAGGGTAGTGGTCAGAAAGATGGGACAGTGACTCTTTAGATGAAGGTCTCTTCAAGTCAAAGGTGGGGTAATTTCCATAAGATGCTCAGGAAGAGGGAGTCCACATTCTGGACAGAGAATGCGGTCATTCCCTCCTCTCAAGGAAGTGCACTTCTGTGGGGGCATGTTTGCCCACGCCGCCTTGGGCTGCCCACACCACACATAGACTAACTGCACCCACAGGCCTCTACTACCATGTCAGGTATGTCAGTCTTGACAATGTTGCTGTCCCTGTCATAGTAGAGCAGAGACAGGGGGCGCCTGGATGTCGGCACACAGCATGAGCCCCCTCCAGTGGAGCCTGCAGCTGTGTTGGCCTTGAGAAGATTGAGCACGGCAGTGTGAAAGGAGGCAGCAATACCAGGCATGCCTGCTATGTGTAGCGGGCACTGCCCTATGCAGAAGTTCATGGCGTAGCCCTCAGGCTGGATGATCCAGTCGTGCCAGCCAATCTCACGGAAGTCCACAAAAAACTCTTGTCGACAGCACATCCTGGACCCTCCTTGGCAGTCGATGCCCCGTCGGCGAATCCGGTGTTTGCCCCCAACTCTCACCCGGGCTGCCACAAAAGGCCTATGAGCAGCTCCGCCCAAGATGACTGAGCTCTGGGATACCTGGCCGTCAGGTACCAGCTCCAGGGTCAGGTGCCCCTGGCTGCAGGCAGCTTGAGCTTCAGGCCCTAGAAGGAGCTGATGCCAGCCACTGGCATTCACCTCCAGCAGGTACTGAGTAACCAAGGTGAGGTTAGTGTTATGTGGACTCAGCACAAGGACCCTCACTTTCAAGGTCCAAGTGGTATTGGAAGGGAGCTGCACAAAGAACATGAGGCTGGCCTGCTGGACCTCTATGCCACCAGCAGTTCTATCAGAGAAGTGAAAATCAAGACGAGTCTGGTTGATGGTGGAGAGGCCTGTGGACATAAGAAGCCCCAGTCATTGTGGCCTTCTGAGTGTCAAATCTACCAGCTATTTCTCTATACTTAGCATTCTTGAGCTGTCTATAGCACTTGGCATTTGCTACAGTTTAAACATGTCCTCCAAAGTTCATGTGCTGGAAATTGGATCCACAATGCAGTGGTGTTGGGAAGTAGGCCCTAATGGGAGGTGTTTGGGTCATGGGAACACAACCTTTATGAATGGATTAATGCCCTTATCTTGGGAATTGGCTCCTTATAAAAAGATAAGTTTAATTCCCCTCAGCCCCAACCTCTCTTTGCCCTTCTGCCATGGAATAACAGCAAGAAGGCCCTTGCCAGATGCCAGCCCCTTGATCCTGGACTTCCCAGCCACCAGAACCATGAGTTAATACATTTATGCTCATTATAAATTTCGTAGTCTGTGGTATTCTGTTATACCAGCACAAAATGGACTAAGCACTGTTGACAACCCTTTCCTTCCTGAAAATCTTTTCTCTCTTGGCTTCCGTGACACAACTCTGTTATAATTCTTCCATGGTTTTCTTTGCTTCTCTGACCATCCCTTCAATACAAGAGTTCTCCAAGGTGTCTCTTGGACTTTCATTTCCTTCTATTCTACATTAAGGGAGCACTTAATCAGACTCATGGCCAAGCAATACAATTTTCATGTTGATGATTCCAAATCTGTATCCCCAGTCCAGACCACTTTGGATATTTGGACTGGACATATAGATTTGGAAATCACCAAGCTTCAGGCCTAAATTTCTAACTACTTACTTTTGTCACATGAATATCCTGGCAGCACATTAAAATCAATTTGCCCCAGAGCTGGGTGCAGTAGTGCATGCCTGTAATCCCAGCTACTTGGAAGACTGAGATGGGAGGATTGCATGAGCACAGGAGTTTAAGATCAGCCCAGGCAACATGGCAAGACCCCATCTGGTAAATACATATATGTGTATGTATACGTACATGTGTGTATGTATATGTGTGCATATACACAAACAGTGGCACATGCACACACACACACACACATACACACACACACATATTGGAGATGGAGTTTTGGTCTTATTGCCCAGGCTGGAGTGCAATGGTGCAATCTCGGCTCACCTCAACCTCCGCCTCCCCGGTTCAAGCAATTCTCCTGCCTCAGCCTCCCAAGTAGCTGGGATTACAGGCATGTGTCACCACGCCCAGCTAATTTTGTATTTTTAGTAGAGACGGGCTTCTCCCATGTTGGTCAGGCTGGTCTCAAACTGTCAACCTCAGGTGATCTGCTCTCCCTGACCTCACAAAGTGCTAGGATTACAGGTGTGAGCCACCGTGCTCGCCCTATACATATATATTTTTTTAAATCAATTTTTTAAAACCTGAAAATTATTATTTTCCTTCCTATATACCCATCTTTCCATTCTTCGTGATGCCACTCCCCTCCTTATCACCTGTAAAAACTCTATGATCAGCCAGGCGCAGTGGCTCTCGCCTGTAATCCTGGCACTTTGGGAGGCTGAGATGGGTGGATCACCTGAGGTCAGGAGTTCAAGACCAGCCTGGCCAACACGGTGAAACACCATCTCTACTAAAAATACAAAAATTAGCCGGGCATGGTGGTGCACGCCTGTAATCCCAGCTACTTGGGAAGCTGAGGCAGGAGAATCAATTGAACCCGGGAGGCAGAGGTCATAATGACCCGAGACCACACCATTGCACTGCAGCCTGGGTGACAGAGTGAGGCTCCATGATTACCTTTTTCACTCCCCATATAGTTTGTCTCACCAGAATGGTTCTAATGTCTGTGAGTTTCTTTACATCCCCATTAATACTGCCCAATTTCCTTTTTTCATCCCTCACCTTCCTTATTGAACATCTTAGTTGAGTTTCTATTCCCTTCACTCTACTGAAATTGCACTTGTCAAGATCACCAACATTTTCCACACAGCAAATCTATCCATTTATATTAATCTTACTTGACCTTTAAGCAGTGTTTGACACAGGCGACCACTCCCTCCTTCTTACATATTTTATTCTCTTGGCTTTTATAACACTGGCCACTCTATCTTTTTCTCCTCTGTGATAGCTCCTCTTTATTGGCCTAACCTTTAAATGCTGGAAGTCAGGCCAGGCATGGTGGCTCACACCTGTAATCCCAGAACTTTGGAGACTGAGACAGGTGGATTGCTTGAGTCCAGGAGTTTGAGATCAGCCTGGGCAACATGGCAAAACCCTGTATCTACAAAAATTACAAAATTACCCAGGTGTGGTAGTGTACAGCTATAGTCCCAGCTACTAGGGAGGGCTGAGGTGGAAGGATCGCTTGACCCTGAGAGATCAAGGCTATAGTTAGAAAGCAACCCACCACTGCACTCCAGCCTAGGCAACAAAGCGAGACCCTGTCTTAAATAAATAAATTTTAAAAAAGTCCTAAGCTCCCTTCTATTTTCTATCTGTATCCTCTCCCAGAATGATCTCATCCATTTCCATGGCTTTCAATTTTATCTGTATGCTGATGACTTTCAAATATGTATCTCTGGTCCTGACCTCTCCCTGAGCCCCAGCCTTGTATGTCCAGCTGCCTATCTGATATTTGACTTGGACATCCAATGACATTTCAATCTCTTGTGGGTTTTTTTTTTTTTTTTTTTTCTGATGGAGTTTCGCTCTGTCACCCAGGCTGGAGTGCAGTGGCCTGATCTTGGCTCACTGCAACCTCTGCCTACAGGGTTCAAGCCATTCTCCTGCCTCAGCCTCCTGAGAAGATGGGATTACAGGTGCGTACCACCACGCCTGGCTAATTTTTATATTTTTAGTAGAGACAGGGTTTCACCATGTCGATCAGACTAGTCTTGAACTCCTTACCTCATGATCCACCTGCCTTGGCCTCCCAAAGTGCTGGGATTACAGGTATGAGCCATGGCACCTGGCCAATCTCTTCTTTTTTTAATAAAAAAATTATTAGCCAGGTGTAGTGGCTCACGCCTGTAATCCCAGCACTTTGGGAGGCTGAGGTGGGCAGATAACCTAAGGTTAAGAGTTCAAGACCAGACTGACCAACATGGTGAAACCCCGATCTACTAAAAATACAAAAAATTAGCCAGGCATGTTGACAGCCACCTGTAATCCCAGCTACTTGGAAGACTGAGGCAGGAAAATTGCTTGAACCTGAGAGGCAGAGATTGCAGTGAGCCAAGATTGTGCCACTGCGCTCCAGCCCGAGAAACAGAAAAAGACTCTGCCTCAAAAAAAAATTTTTTTTTCCTGGAGATGGGGGTCTTACTATGTTGCCCAGACTGATCTTAAACTCCTGGCCTTAAGTGATCCTCTCACCTTGGCCTCCCAAAGTGCTGAGATCATAGGCCTGAGTCAATGTGCCCGGCCTCAATCCTGTACAAGAAAGTCTAAATGTATCCCCCCAATCCAAACCTGTTCCTTCTCTAAACTTCTCCTTCTCTGAAAATGCATTGCTTAAGGCAAAATCTTGACTGTGTTTATCCCCTGGTTTGAAATTATCTGAAAGTTTTATCAACTCTACTTTTTTTTTTTTTTTTTTTGGTGAGACAGAGCCCTCCTTTGTCACCCAGGCTAGAGTGCAGTGATGCACATCATCTCGCTCACTGCAACCTCGGCCTCCCGGGTTTAAGCAATTCTCTGCCTCAGCCTCCTGAGTAGCTAGGGTTACAGGTGCCCACCACCATGCCCAGCTAATTTTTTATATTTTTAGTAGAGACGGACTTTGACTCTCTTGGCCAGGCTGGTCTTTTTAAAATATATTATTTATTTATGTATTTATTTATTTAAAAGATGGGGTTTCACCATGATGGCCAGGCCGGTCTTGAACTCCTGACCTCAGGTGATCCACCCACCTCAGCCTCCCAAAGTGCTAGGATTACAGGCGTGAGCCCTGTGCCCGGCTTGCCAAACTGGTCTTGAACTCCTGACCTCGTGATTCATCTGCCTTGGCCTCCCAAAGTGCTGGGATTACAGTCATGAGGCACTGCACTCGGCCATAACAACTCTACTTCTAATTCATAATATAATTTCACTCTTTCCACCTCCTCTACTACACATTAGCCCAACTCACAATCATCTTTTTCTTCACCTATAGCTTTAGTTCACTAAAGTGATTCACTCTTGCCCTCCAAACCATTCTCCAAATATCAGCCAGTGATCTTTTTATAAATCTGATCAGTTTTATCTTCTCAGATTGAAACACTTCAAAGTCTTCACTTTGCTTTTTGGATAAAATCTAAACTCCTTAAAATAGAAACTTGTTTGATTAGGTGGTCTGACCCTTAACTACTACACCCTACCTATACTGGCCTTTTTCTGTTCCTCAAATTCACCAAACATAAAGCCTTTGCATTTGCTAGTCCCTTTCCCTGGCATGTCTTTCCAAGATCTTTGAATGATTGACTTCTTTTTGGCATTCAGCTCAGATGCTCTTCTCCTCAGAGAGTCTTCTGGCTTCTTTCCTAGTCTATCTAAAGCAGCCTTCAGCCAGGCGTGGTGGCACATGCCTGTAATCACAGCACAATGGGAGGTCAAGGTGGGAGGATTGCTTGAGGCCAGGAGTTTCGGACCAACTGGGAAACATAGTGAGACCCTGTCTCTACAAGAAGTAAAAAAAAAAAAAAAAAGAAAAAAAAATAGCTGGGCATGGAGGCACATACCTGTAATCCCATCTACTCTGGAGTCTGAGGCAGGAGAATGCTTGAACTCAGGAGGCGGAGGTTGCAGTGAGCTGAGATTGCACCACTGCACTCCAGCCTGAGTGACAGAGCCAGACTCCATCTCAAAAACAAACGAACAAACAAAAACACTTGTTGAATGGTCTTTCATTTATTTAATTATTTTATGTTAACACTACAATTATTTTCCCAAAACAAGGATGAATTACAAAATTCATGGTCTCAAAAATCTTACTGGTTAATAAAGTCCTAACTCTTTTTGGAAGCAGATACCCATTGTAATTTGGCCTTAGCTACTCTTTTTTT